GTCCTTGTTTGCGTATAGGTTTTGGTAGGAAATTTTTACTTCTTCAAGTATTTTTGTTTGATCATAGATAATACAGTTTTCTTCAAGTTCGAGTTTTTTGATAGTTTTATTTAAATAATTACGCTTTTCCAAATTGCAAAAATATCTTGTGGGTTTCTCCCCATCCTCGACCCATTTAGCTCTTGATCTTATGACATCTTTTTTGAAATCTTAGAAAAGGTCTTATAAAAGTTGACATTTGTACTCTACGAGGGTCGTTCAATAAGTAATGCAATACTCAGTATATCATAATAAATGTTGAGGCATTTGATTTTATTTTTTCATATTTGAAAAGTTCTATTTAAGATCTACTAAACACAGAAAACCCCACGAATTTCCATTGTGTCTTCGCAAAGAAATTCTTTTTTAAAGTAAGCATGGTCACTGCACTGAGCTGAAAACTGTTTATAAATGATCTCCGCCAAGAAGATGAAAATAAGTGCGTATTTGAAAACTGCGCTTTTTACATAAATCGCCGCAAACCTCATACTTAAGATAACATTTTTATAAGTGGAAAAAAAATAATCTTCAAGGCTGTATACCTTTTCAGATGGATTCAATAATTCAGAAGAAAAAAAACAAGGGTTCAAATATAACAGTCAATATGGTCACTTGAAATTTGTGGGGACATCACAAAATATCGACTTTATTTGCCACATGTATTTTGAAAATGCTTTATTTACATGGAAAGACATTGTTAAAATACTTCTCATTAAATCGTCACAGCATTTTATAGATTTCAGACAAAGGAACACCATATAACAATATTTCAATCAGATAGGTGCCCAATTTCTCACAAATGTCCAAAAGAGAATATTCGTTAAATGTGCATACGGTTTACTTAAAAACATATTTTTAAACAAAATTGAAGAATTGATAAACTTGCTTAATGTATGACGAGACATTGGTGCTCTTATTATAGTCGTAAAATATGATTAATGATAAAAAAAATGAGGAATCAAAGAAAAGGGTGTCATTTAATTAGGATAAAGAGAAGTAATGGCTGCAAACATGTTTTATGTTTTCATGTATTTAAAGAGGTCCATTAAAAAATCAACATGCATCCAAATGAAGGACTAGCAAGTAAGTTTTATCTTCAAATCGCATACAGGAAAGTTGAACAGATTTTTTGCAAAGGAAGTCCAAAACTCGGTGACCATGGAATTTTTCCTGTGCTAAACAATACAGTTGGATATAATCTGAGAGAAAAAATAAAATTCTGAAGAAAAGAAAGTATACAGGACTTTTCAATTGCAATGACCCATATTAGTTTAATCGCAGCCACTGTAAGATCTTTGCATTCCCAAAACACTTGAAAACAATCAAAGGAAATTTTACAATGTCAGATATGCCATGGGAAATGAAATTTCTCAGTGTCTTTGGGGTATCCCTAAAGAGAAGTATGCTGAGGATTTCTGTTCATGGATTAAAGACTTAAGACACATGAAACTGGTAACAGGAAATGCCTTTAGGGATTGAAACTATTAAGAATATGTATTACGTACTTTTCTTACTTTTAGATGACATGTTGCATTATTTATTGAACGACCCTCGTATTCAAGGAAAAAAATAATACAGTTTTAGAGAAATAAGATTTTTATTGAATCCAGCCTTAGATACCGATGCTTATAGCATGATATGAAATAAGAAGTGATTTGTGGTGTATTGCAATGATAGCAAAAGCCTGTTACGTATACTATGTGTTGTAGAATACATGACTGAAATACAGGACAAAAAAATACAAAATAAGTATAAAAACCATGACAGTTTCTCTTAATGCCTGGATACCTATCATTTTTTAACCTCAAATATATTTGTTGCTCAATTTGCAATTAGAAATACATTGCTGATATTCCAATCCGCCTTTTCTGAAAAAATATCTGAGATTTGACAACTTTCCCTATATAATAAGATTAACCTTAATCTTTAACTTTATTGAAATGCTGTGGATAAATTTATATAACTCTGTGGAATCAGAGAAACTTTTATGAGTATTTTTGATTACTTAATAACTGCTAACTTTATTAACCTGAGTACCTTAGCGAGAATTAAGGGGAACAGATACATTCTTGTAGTCTTAACTTTTTACAGTGTAAATTTTCGTAACGCGTAAATTCTAATTAAGAGATAATAGATATGATAATGATTATCCCTAACAAAAAATTTCTGTAGTTTACTGTTGTGAGATGTGTTGTATTTGTATTGTTTCATCTTGTATATAATTAGTAACATTAAGTTTCTTGAACATTCCAGAGTGGTCAATATGTTCGGTCATTGTTTCTAGAACATTCCTGAATTTTGTGTATGTCCAGATTGTTCCAGTAATATCATGTTTTAACAATTTCTAGAATATTCTAGATTTATGATACTGTATAAATACCCTGTCAATTCGATGCATAGAGAAATTGTCGTATAAGCATCATTGAGGTATTACTGGGATATAATTTCACTGGGACATTGTGTGCATCAACGGACACTCTGATGTATGTATTTTTAGATTTTTGCTAAGTTTGTACTATTACTGTAAATAAATTGTTGTTAAGTTTAAACTGTGTGATTGATCTTTGCTGGCATTTAGGGTTATTCTGACCCATAACAGTTACCTTGCAATGAGCCTCTAGTATTTAAACCGGTAAATGGAGCTACAAATATTCCTTTATGATTAAACTTAAGGTTATTGAGATAACATATTTTGGCACTACATTATGGGTTAAATGATCCCGTGCGTATTGCACATGAAACGGATCGATGTGTACAAACCCGTAGGACAAGGCCATAAGCAATGAAAAGCCCGACGTAAACAGAGCCCTGGAGACGAAGTGGAAACGAAAGTTAAAATCAACTCAGCATAAAGAAAGGATTTGTTTACTGTTACCAAAACATGATACTACAGGGAACTTCTGATGATAATTGGTAAACACGGTGTTTTAATTTTATCACATAGAAGATGATTTTTTAAAATGCTTATTTAGATTTGTGAACAGGAAGTAAATAAATAACGGTATATATGGTTGGCCGTTCTACTAAATGATCGAAGGAAATAGTTGAAACGAAAGTTCCGAATAAGTAAAATTATCAAACAATTTTCTTCAAAAGTCTGGATACCTATGATTTTTATTCTTAAAATGTACATAGACTCATAGAGTGATCAATTTTCAATAAGAAAATATGCTGCAGGTAGTTCTATTTGCATTTCCTAAAAATATTTGAAATTTACCAATGTTTTATTAAATAATATGATTAATTTTAAAGATGAAGTATTACATGTTTTAAGAAACAATAAATACACATTCGCGTTGGAAGCAAATTGAAAAAGGGGGGGGGGGGCTAAGTGTAAAAAAAAATACACGTTCAAAACAAAAGAGCGGGAAATGTCCATTTCCCAAACACGAGGGGAAAGGGAGGGGGGTTGGGGGGATTAGTTCGAACTTCAATACCAAACTTTTTTTTCAAACACCACCACTTACCCCATTTTTAGCTCACCCGAGCCGAAGGCTCAAGTGAGCTTTTCTGATCACACTTTGTCCGGCGCCCGTCTAGCTGTCTGTCTGTCTGTAAACTTTTCACATTTTTGACTTCTTCTCAAGAACCGCTGGGCCATTTTCAACCAAACTTGCCACAAAACATCCTTGGTGAAAGGGAATAAAGTTTGTTCAAATGAAGGGCCACGCCCTCATTCATGGGGAGATAATTGGGGATTAATAAAAATTTAGTGGTATGTTTTAGAAATCTTCTTCTCAAGAACCACTGGGCCAGGAAAGCTGAAACTCATATGGAAGCATCCTTGCGTAGTGTACATATTATAAATTGTTAAAATCATGACCCCCGGGGGCAGGGCGGCGCCACAATGCCCTACCAAAGTTTTACATAGAAATATATTGGAAAATTATTTAAAACTCTTCTTCTCAAGAAAAACAAAGCCATAAATGGTCATATTTATATGAGAGCATCCTCAGGTAGTATAGATTCAAGTTTGTTCAAATCATGAACCCCGGGGGTAGGGCGGCGCCACAATGGCCGACCAATTTGAAAGTTTTACATAAAAATATATAGGAAAATTATTTTAAAATCTTCGCCGCAAGAATAACAAAGCCATAATTGATCAAACTTATATGGAAGCATCCTCAGGTAGTTTAGATTCAAGTTTGTTCAAATCATGACCCCCGGGGGTAGGGCGGGGCCACAATGGTCGACCAAAATTTTACAAAAAAATATATAGGAAAATTCCTTAAAAATCTCAAGAATTACAAAGCCATAATTGATCATATTTATTTGAAAGCATCCTCAGGTAGTGTTGATTCAAGTTTGTTCAAATGATGACCCCCGGGGGTAGGGCGGGGCCACAATGGCCGACCAAAGTTTTACATAGAAATATATAGGAAAATTCTTTACAAATCATATTCTCAAGAATAGTAAAGCCATAACTGGTCAAAGGTTATTTTTGGATTTAGACTTTTCAATAATAAACCAATTTCTATTTTATTCCAAGCCACAATGCTCAGGTGAGCGATGTGGATCATGGGCCTCTTGTTAACCTATCCTGCAACGGGTCTGTGGTAAGGAGGGGACTAAACCTTCCAGTAATGTTCAATGTCTATACTAAGTATATATTTGCCCCCCTCCCCCCTCCCCCCCCCCCGGTTCCGACGCCTATGATACACATAACTTGGAGAATTTAGAGAAGTCATTGTGACGTCTTCATTTTCACCATTCTCCATCACTCAATGGTTGATTTTCAGAGCCTCAGGATCGGACTACCTTAATGATCTACATTTTGATAATAATATTAATTAGGTGAAAAATTGTTCATTTAAAACATTATCTTTTATAAATGTTGAGGTATTTTTGTCGTAGATATCATTGACACAATGTTGTAATTTACAAAGAGATCTCCCTGACTGAGGAAATCAACATGGAATTCTGTTATAAAGCCACAAGATAAAAATGAAATTGATGTCTGCGGTATATGATGTATAGAGCAGTGTTACAGAAATCTATCAAAGTGCCAGGTGGTAGACGTCGTCGTCACATTTCCCACGTGTCTACAGACCGGGTCTGGATCAGTGATAGTGAAGGCAATCTTATACTGACAAACACTAAAGGCAAAGAACTAGATCGTGTGACAGATATAGGTAGTGGTTATGGAGGACACACTGTGAACCGTGAGTGTGACCTAATCTACATAGACAGGGAGAAAAACATCAATAAACTGTCTTCAGAGAATAAAGAAAAGACTACGATAAAACAGTACAACACCGCACCATGGAGACCACAGTGTGTCTACAGCTCCCCCTCCACTGGAGACCTGCTGGTCGGGATGTATAGACGTGATGCAGAGACAGGCAAGATATTGCGGTATAACTCCACAGGAGAAAACATCCAGACCATACAGAACGACAACACAGGTCAGGAACTGTATAAAGAACCTAACTACATCACAGAGAACCACAATGGAGATATTATTGTGTCTGACTGGTACCGTCTTGCTGTAGTGGTGACAGATCGTGACGGTAGATACCGTTTCTCTTACACAGGTCCTCCATCAGGATCACGACTACGGCCACTAGGAATCTGTACGGACGCGCTGTCACACATTCTGGTGTGTGATTTTATCACCCGGTCAGTACAGATGTTAGATAGTAAGGGTAACTATCTGACAGAGATACAGTCACAACAACACGGGATAGACAGACCATACGGCCTGAGTTATAATGATGATGACACACACCTACTGTGGGTAGGGTCATGGAACAACAACACAGTCAACATATACAGAGTGGTAGATACAGACTCTCTGACTGGTAAGTAACGCTGTAGTTTATTTAAGTGTTCTGCTTAAAAATATCAGATGTCTGTGATTTAATAAACTTCAATTAGATTTTAATGATAAAGTCATTAAAGAAAAATTATTGTAAATCTGTTTTGTGTAGTTGCAAATCATATACATGTAGTAAAGTCGTTTTACAAGAGATTACAAACCATAACTAAGATGTTCATACCCAAATTAATATATATTTACGAGAGTAAGAGAATTTGATGAAAATATGCTGAATGAAGTTTATAAATAAAATATAGAAGAATTTTAATATGTCCAATATTCACTCATTTCCACAAAGATTCCCATGTAATGTACATTTATATTTGGTCAAAATAGTGCCTCTAGAAGGGGGCCTATAAATGGTTGGATGTTGTCATTATAGGATAGCGATGATGGTATTTTATAGGTTAACGACGCTCCCATTATACTTTAATTAGGGTTGCCCCCATTATGCGTTAGGGATGATGCTATTTTATAGGTTAATGATGGGTCCATTATAAGGTTTTTTATAGGAAAGGTATGGGGTTAAAGATTTACATTTGGCCATGTTGGCTGTTTGTCATTTTTATTTCATTCTTAGAAATAACTTATCATTAAAATAAGATATACAGTGTCTTTGAATCATTAGTAAATACCATATTGACTTTTTGTTCCATTTCTTGGTTCAGTTATTGATGTTGGTGGGTTGGTACAGTGTATATTTCATGTAATTACACAATATCTTTTATAAAGTATATTTTGCTAGACAGACAAATAACTCCCCTGAGGGGGGTATTACTCAGGACATAGGACGGCATTCGCTGTTCAGTGTCTTAAGACAGACACTAAATTTGGTACACTGCTTTGTTGCGTATGGTCGTATTTCAATAGTGGTTACTGTTTATGTTTGTTGTTGAAATGCACTCTCAACCACTATTGAAATGATTATTTCAATAGTGGTTACTAACTATGTTTGCTATTGAAATGCACTCTCAATCACTATTGATATAATTATTTCAATAGTGGTTGCAACACTGCTTCCTTTTATAACATTTCTGATATTTTATGTCTTGACCTTCCGAGTGACGTTTGACTTTATTATTTAATGTTTTTTGAACTCAGTTTTTAATAAACAGCTTTGCTAATTTTCATAAACCTCATACAGATATATAAATAATTCTTTTAGATATTTAAGTTGCATTAGTAATGAATGAACTCTGGGCGGATCATTTATGTCCTATAGTCATATTTTTTATAATTCATATGATAAAGAAGGGTAAAATCCCCGAGGAGAAAAAAACTAGACTGTTATTATTTTGAAGAGCATTGTGTCCCATTGATCTCCCCTTGTGCACTTTCTGGTCAATTGCTGCCTCTTAAGTCCAGCAATGACATTTATGACTGTTTTGTTTTATGTGAAGACTCCGTTCATATGTGTATATAATCTTATCATAACAGGCCTTCCTCTGGAGAATGTAATTTGTAACAGACATCCTAGAGGTGCGTGTTCAAAGTTCTGTATGCAGTGTGAGGTTCCCTTGTGTGAGGAATGTGTCACCTCTACTGATCATGGAAGACACAATATTAAAGACGTAGAGATGATGTTTAATGCAATTCACAAGAAAAAAGGTTTGTATCAACATTTGACATATTTATGCCAGGCCTGAGGTCAATTTAATAATTGAAGGCCAATGATGGTAGGGGTCAAAATTGTTGACCAGTTTATTTAAAAATGAATTTTTAATACAGAAATTTAAAAGAAAAGGTTAAGGAAAAGGTGTGGTTTTGTTATATGAGCTTTTTTATAATTTACTTTTGACATTACACGTACAAGCACTATTTGTTATTTTATTTTAACTTATAAAAAGGTAAGTTCTTATATGTGTCTCTTTATTTTGTAGACCTAGATGCAGTTTTAAAGTGCCTTCTACTTTGTCATTCATGCAAAATAAATCTGAATGAAGAACAGTGGAAGAAAAAGTTTTATACTGTTGCCAAATTTTCCAAATTTAAAAAGATAAAAAAGGAATCCATTCTTGTCAGTTTAGATGAATACGAACCAATTTTGCAACAAAAAGATTATGAAGTCATGTTTTCTTGCGAATTGTTCAGACACACCAGTTTTCTTCGATTTGCAAGAGATCCACAATTTGTAGATATATTTCTAACTTGGGCAGACAAAGACAACATAGCTGAGTACTGTAGATCCTGGGCTTATCCAAAGAAAGAAAATGAAGTTTTTTGCTGGTTATCACCACAACAAACAGAACGGTTGATAGAAAAACTTGGAAAGGATATTTTCACCCACCCTACATGGCAGGATACATCTATACATGATGCTGCATTTAGCAAATGTAGGTTTCTGTTCATAACTGTTTTTTACTGGGCAAATTACTAGTATAATACATTACGAAGCTATTTTGATAGGGCAATAATATGTCATCTTCCTACCTGTTTACATGTATCTCTCTTTTTTATCTTTTATTTTTCCTATGATACATAATACTTTATTTTGTTAAGCTTAACTTGCATAAAAGTTTGATTTTGGAAAATTAGATATTTAGCCCCAGATTAATTTGGAATGATTGAGACATTGTAAATCTTAAAAAAGTCTTAAAAATCCTGAGAATTACAAGGTCGAAAATGTCCTAAATAAGCTTTTATGTCTAGATCTGCTGATTAAGTGGGCTTTATAGTGTAGGGAAAGCACGTTCCCAAGACTATATAAAAATTGAATAGATACAAAACAGAAAATCGCCGACAAAAAATATCACGAATATATTGAGCACGATTGAGTATTTCCACTGAAACAAGTCCACAGAAAAAAGGGAAGAGGGTAAAATGACTTGAATAATTTTTTTTGCATATTATACACTTGTTTTACTTTTTTGTGCATTACTTAATATACTTATTTTCAGGTGAAAGCGTAAGTGATCTTTTGACTATCCATTTTCCATCTTCCTTTCATTTGTCTGTATATAATCATTTCACATTCACAATTTCTTGTTCAGAACTACTTGGCTAATTTTTATCTAGGTAGGTATAATAAGGCAATTTGAATTGTTAAAAGGAAGGACCAAACCTCTTTTAAAATAGTAGGTATTCATGAAAAAGCAAAACTGTTTGGGTTTGAAAAATTATAGAACAACTTGATCAGAAAAGCTGAAACTTATGAAGAAACTTAATGAAATAGAGTACATTTGGGAGTTTTAGATTAAAATGCATTGAACAAAAATCCTCTCTAGAACCACTGGACTCGAAAAATTGCTTCTTTCAGTATGATTTTAACACATGTGTTAACGTTTGATCTAAGACCTGGAAAAGAAAATTCAATCATTAAAAGCTTGTATCCCAGTCTTAAGATATGTTGTTTTCTTTTCAGTTGGCATACCAATGCAGGTCATAATGAGGGGGGAGAACTCAGTAAAGGTTTTCATTGAAAATCTGAAGAAAGGAGAAAGGACTATGTACCACACCTCTGGGATGATAATTGGTTGTGCTGGTAGTGGGAAAACAACATTGTTAGAGAGATTAAAGGGAATAAGTGTGAAGAAGGTTAAAAAATATGTGAAATCTACGAGAGGGATAGAGCTTCAATCTGACATTTTCGATGTATCAGACACAATCAAAGGTAATGTTCAATTTTATGGTAACATGTACATTTACATATACATTGTATAAACATAAACAGAAATTGATACTATGGTGGAACTTGTCCATTTACTTATTAAAACATGGCAAGTTGTTATTTAAAAATTTCATGACGAAAGTTTGTATCATCTATCCTTAAAATGTTAATGAATGAGAGAGAGAGAGAGAGAGAGAGAGAGAGAGAGAGAGAGAGAGAGAGAGAGAGAGAGAGAGAGAGAGAGAGAGAGAGAGTTTTAATGAATGAAAATTTTCTCCTTGTAGTAAATTTATCAAATCTGAAACAGCGCTTTCAGATTAAAATTGATGAAACAACACGACACCAAACTGTCCCAGAATTTCTATACAGCTAACTGATACAGAAAAGCTGTTGATATTGATGAACAAGAGGATATCAAAATTACAAGTAGCGAAGAAGTTTATGAAAAATTAAAACAAAAACGTAACAGTGCAGAGAATGACTCAATTAACAAAAACGAACAGGGATCTGCCATAGATGAAAAAGAGAGAGTAGTTAAAAAACATGAAAAGGGGGGGTTGAAAGGCTTGGGAATTTTACAGTTTTCAGAAGACGATTTTGCTGTTCCAGAAAAAAAGATCACTATTCTCGACTTTGCAGGACAATGTGCATATTATGCCTCACACCAGATATTTCTGAGTCCCCGGGCCTTCTTCATTCTGGTGCTCAATATGGAGAAGACGTTTGATGACCAGGTTGGAGAGGAAGTGTGTAGCCAAGCAGGCTCCATTTTCCAGGGATGGACTCACAGAGGTTTGACACTATTACATTATATGGCATATACTCTCAGAGAGTATTGAATATATCCTCCAAGTTGATTTTTTCTTAATTATATGTGAAAGATGCGAAAGAAGTTACATACTATGTATTAAAAATTCTGCCTTAATAAATGATTGATTATATGTTGCTTAACTATATATTGAATTTTTCAATCATATGTTTAGAAATGAAAACCTTTATGATGCTTTAAAATTTGTCCTTGCTCGGCACTTGGGGCCTTTGAGCAAAATCTTTTTGTAAAAAAAAATTAGAAGTGGCAGAGTTGTTACATGATACATATCAACAAATGTTTTGATTCAAAACCACGAGTCCCACTTGTTTGTAAATGTCATCAAATTTTCGCGAAAAAGGACGACTCCTTACAATAAACTTGAATGAAACTCTAACCACTGGCCACGCAAACCTGTCATAATTTCTGAACAAGTGAAAAACAGAAAAGCTATTTTTATGAAAGAAACATATGAACCTTATATTTTAGAAATGAATACGTTTCATGATGTTATATGACTGAATCTTGCTAAATTAAAATGTATCGAAGCATGATCTTTATGTAAACACGAGAAAACGTATTTTTGATTCACTGCCATTTTGAAAAAGAGAATGAAAGAAAATGATAAAAAGTTTAATTTGTAGGTAATTTAAAACTTCAAATGAGTCCATTTTGCTGTTCTCATAATGTGTTATAATAAAATCACAGATTTTCGACTACCAGGACATATAGTTGCCAAGCTTCATGCACTCAAAACAGATATTCAACTGTTATATCCATCCTAAAAATATTTTGTTTTAAATGTTGTAAGAAGTTTAATACAATATTTGAGAAATGTGTAGACAGCATCCATTTCAAAATTCTATGTTGGCCTACACACAGATGAGAAATACTTAACAGTGAGTGGCCTAACAATTAGGATGAAAAGACGGTCAATGCATCGACCATAGAACTTTAAAATGATGAATTTGACTGTTGATATACCTGTTTGTTATTGAATTAAACTTAGAAATGATATACTTGTATGTATCAAATCATTATTTATCTTAGTGCATAGTCTGTCTTAAAAACATTTTATTTTTTTTTTCATTTTATGAAGATTATCTCACATTTTGGGCCAAGTCCATTCATCAATACAGCAGTGAAAAGGCCCCTGTGATACTGGTCGCTACTCATGCTGAAAAAAAGTCAGAAAAGGTATAAAATGTTGTTTTCTTTGAATTGAGAAATTTATTAAGTTTTTACATAAACTCGTATAAAAAAACTCCACTTTATACTTGAAAAATTGAATGTATACATTGTTTAATTATAAATAGTTATAATGTCTCAAAAAACTTTTAGTAAAATATACACATCATATTTAAAACATTATTGTATCTCAAATTGTACTGTAGTTGAACCCTATTTATATTCAAATGAAAAGGTTGATATCATTTCCATGTAAACTTCCCAAATATATACTGCCCAAAGCATATATGAAATTTGGTTTTTGCCCTAAAATGGGGTTTTTTGCTTTAATTATGTATCTTGCATATTTAAATACACATTTATTTCTTTAGGAGAAAATAGAGTTTTTCCGTGAGGTATGGAAGACTTTGGAAATGAAGAACAAGTCATTGCAAAAGCATCTTGACAAATCAATGATGTTTGCAGTAGGATTCCATGACAATAAATGCATTAAGAAAATCAAACGGTCAATTGCTGATACTGTTCAAAAGCTTGATTATTGGGCTGAAAAGCTTCCACTCTCATGGGCAATGTTTGAAAAGTTCTTCCAAGAGAAGAAATACCTAAGGATAATAAGGAAAGAGATACTGTTAACTTTCAATGAGGCACTGCCACAGGAAATAAAAATGGACACGATCGATGATCTTAATATCATGCTCCTTTTTTTCCACGATTTCAGAGAAATTTTGTATTTTAATCAAGAATTGCTTAGAGAGATAATCATTCTTGATGTTCAGTGGTTTGCAGATGCATTCAAAAATGTTATCACTGATAAAAACCACGCAGAGGAGGACTTATTGGAGTTTGCAACAGAATGGGATGGATTCAACGAAACTGGAGAATTGAGTGACACGTTGTTGTTTGCAATATGGAATAAAAAGAGTATAAAGAATAAGGATTTTATTGAACACAAGGGCGATGTCATGCTCTACATGGAAAGACTTGGCCTCTTGGCTAAATTAGGTGACAACAAATGGTATGTTCCCTGCATGAACAAGAGACCATTTCCTGCAAAAAGCTTTGCATCATACCCTGCCTCCTCCATTCTCTGTTATGTATTTGATGTTCTTCCTGCTGGAATTTTCCAGCGTCTTGTAGCGAGTTGCATGCAAATTCCATGGAAGTTGAATTCAAATCGTGATGAACTTTGTATTTACCAAACAGTGGCTGTATTCCTGTTTGAGAACCAAAACATTCTGATTGGTATGACATCAACAGAAATTCAGTTACAGGTCTTTGTACTTGAAGGAGAAGTTGATAAATCAACATCTCAACAAGTAAAGAGGAAAATTGACGATATATTGAATATTCTTTCTGAAACATTCCACGCAGATTCTAAATTTGGTCTCGCTTTCAAATGCAAAGATACAGGATTTTGTGATAACAAAGAAAGTTCTGTGATCAACGAATCAGAATTTACAAAGCCAATCTTTCAGTGTCCTTCCTGTCCAATAGAGAAAAAGCACATCATCAAATCAAAGGATGTCACAAAGTTTTGGATACAGGTAATCTATTATAATTGTTGTTCCCCGTAGAAGAGACTCATGGAAACTTTAAAGGAATATATTTGGGGGAATATACATGTGTTGTAAAAATGCTGATTCTGGATCGAAGGTTGCCTGTTGTATGTCTTGGCAAGATGTATGCAGACCTAATTTCAATTATTTTAAGCTTATCCAATGGACGTTCTTTAGAAGTAATATTCAAAGTGATTGCAGAATGAATTTTTAATCATGGTCTTAATACTTGGGTGGATTAACAAACTTTAAGAAAAAGATAAAAGGATACAGTATAATACTGAAAAAATGGAAATATGGTTAAAACTTGACAACTAAAAATAAAAAGCATATACATATAGACTTATATTGAATTGTTGAAATGTTGTTTAGGAATTGAGCAAAAATACAACAAATTTTAACATATTTGTTAAAGAATGACCTGAAAGACTGGTTGCCTCTATAAGAAAATGAACACAGTTCATGAAAGCAATATTAACAATTAATATATATTACTTTGTTTAGTGAATCTCACAGATAAGTGGGGGACACAATGGAGACAATCTACTTTGAGTCTAATTTTGTCAGAATCGGTAAACCGGAGGCCTTAGTGATGTCACTACACTGTCTTAACCATGTTAAATGTACATGAGTTTTTTTCAGCAATAAGATTGAAAGACGTTATCAAAAAGCAATATTCCATTGCATTCCATTGAAACATTCATGTGCACTGCTTAAAATCGATGTCATTCACATAAACATTGTGATAATTCACATCTTGTTCCACATAGTTCAGCTCTTATGCATTCAAAATATCATTTTTGTATCATCATCTACTTTTAAATAATTATTTATGACGAAAATACAAAGTTTTGATTTAATTTGAATATTTGCATATTAAAGGAACATGGCATTAAAACTGAAATTTCACAAGCCATGGGGACCTGTAGAGTTTCATGTTTGGGAAGTTCTGAACAGAGTGATTACTTACCAAAGGTATCTCAACTATTTAAATTTGTTGTTAATTTTATGTAATCACTTGACTTTACAAATCTAAACCTTTCATTTTTTTCTCATGTGTAAACTTGTAAAATTCTTAAAAGAAGTAATTTTGACTGCTTTACATTTGTTTTCTTTGATATATTTGAGAAAGGACTTAATGATATTTTAATTTGTTATTTGCAGTAATTGTATTTATGACTAATAATTTTTCCACATAAAAAGCACTGGAGGTACATTTTTCTTATTCAGATAATTTTGCCAAAATTCAAAAGTTATTGCAAATTGCAACTGATGCTGTAAGAATCTGCTTTGATAAATTCTTCCCCAAAGAGGACTTAGAAAAGACTCTGAAAGAAAATGAACCATACATGAGGACAGGACAGTTCCGATTCCTACCACCTCAACTAGAGATTCTCTTCCCTCCTCAAGGTACTTAATGGACTTCTATCTTTAAATCTTTATTGTTGAAT